AAAAGAGAGAGATAATATGTGTTCGCTTGTAGACGACAAGATGATTGATTTTAAGAAGATTGAATGTAGACGAGCAGGATACGAGAGTAATCAGAGGAAATGTGGGCTTTTAGAAAATAAAATATGGAGAAAGAAGAAGATGATGTTTGACTGCAATTGTGATTTTTGGAGAGAAACTGAGAGGACAAATGATGCAATTGAGTGAGAGGAAAGAGAAAAAACACAAATCTATAGAGAGGGGATTTGTATAGATGAGTTTAAAAATTTTAAATTAATCCTATTTGCCACATTGGACTGCTTACGTGTCAACTCATCAAACTCAGATCTTGCCTCAAATTCTCGAGCTTGAGACTCAGCTCAACGTAGTAATCTAGGTTTAGAGAGCGGAGAGTAGCCAGAATGAACTCATTTAGTGACTGCTTGAGCTGGTTTCTTCGCATTGGGCCTTTGATTCTTAGTTGGCATGCTGGCACAATTCATCGAGCCCTAGATCCTATAGTTTTATAACTTGGCAAGTTGTATTTAAGCTAGTTTGTATTCTTAGACTAATATTTTTTGATATTTGATTTACTAAATAAATTTTCTCTAGTTAATTCTGGTGTGCAATGCCTAGGCACAATTCAACAAGTTTTTCTCTACTAAATTCAAGTTTTCTAGGCATTATTTGTTTTTTGCTTTTAAAGGTCAACCAAATTATTTAGAGATATCCATTTCATTGATTAAGGTAATGCATTTTTGCTTTCCTTTGTTTTTGTGGATTGAAGAATCGAGGTAGAGAGAGAGAGGATGAAAAAAAAAAAAAAAACAAATAATGAAATTAGGTTATGGAATTTTTTGGGGGATTGGTTGTTTGGCTGTAATGTCACGACCCGATCCATGGGCCGGACGCAGGCACTAGGACCCAGGTAAGGCTTAAGGCTCACGAGGCCCGTAGTAAAGCCTGAAACACTAAAAATTTACTATCTCAATAAAATTTTTAAACATTTTACGAATCGCCCGTGCTTAACAAAATACACTATATTTATAATCTAGGCTCACGAAAATTATTTCAATCTATAATATACACGACTTAAAATTAATACAATCCTTATAACTGCGGAGTTCACTGTAACAGATCTATACAGATAAACCGTTCGGACATTTATCTATTAATAGAAATAATACTAAAATTAGAGAAATTTTCTTTTTAACATTGAAAGAGCAGAGTTATAGCTGGGAATTTAGAAAAATGCTACTTCCTGAAAAGATTTAAACAAAAGAGATGTGAGTTTAATTAATGAATAAAATAATTATTGCAACAAAACACAATGCATTCCCACACAAAT